GATTCCTATCGAAAACACGGGCCCGTATTCCGTGGCACTCTCTAGATTTTAACATGTAGTTCAACACTACTGACACGATTGAAACAAATGCTGTGGAAAAGAACTCTACACGCAAATACACGCCACCAGGGCGTGGTGTTCTGTAGGGTTTAGGGTTGGGGTTAAGGTTTTGGGGTTTCGGGTTTGGGCTGTCTGCGTGGTTATGCCCCGGGATTCAGGGAGTGAAGTTGTTTAGAGATTGACGCTGGCAAACCCAGGCATTGGGCAAGTACTCTGCCTACTTTCGAAGGTGTAGGTAAACCCAGAGCCCTGGACCTCAAACTACAAACAAATCTAAATCCCAGACCCTAAGTCCTAAGCCCAAAACCTCAGCCCTCAACCCCATTAAGCCCCCCAGCCCCTCCCTATGATCCTAACCTAAACCCTAACCCCTAAACCCTAAACCGATCTTGCAAAACGTGAGGCCTTGGCACCCTGTTCTGGTCCATCGTGCTCCTGCTTGTGGTGAAGGCCTAACACCTCTGAAGGATTGAGGTTCAAGATTTAGGGTTTAGGGTTTAGGATTCAGGTTTTAGGGTTTAGGTTTTAGGGGTTTAAGGTTTAGGACTTAGGTTTTAGGTTTTAGGGCTTCGGATTTCGGGGTTTAGGGTTTAGGGCGTCCAGCAACCGCAAAGGTAGGCCTTGGAGCCAAATTGCTGGAGGTTGGAAGCTGAGAACGGTTTAGGGTTTAGGGTTTAGGGTTTAGGGTTTAGGGTTTAGGGTTTAGGGGATACCAAGTCGTGGCGGTTGGGTGTGGTCTTGGTCTAAGGACATTTTTCAGGTGGGGTAGTTTCCGTTCCCAAAGGGTCCAAAGTACCTATATAGTAGAATGTAGGGTTTCTATATCAGGAATTACTATTATGATTTGGGGAAGTATGCCCCATAACAATACCTAGGACCCTTTGGGGTTATAGGAGCCTTATAGAAGGTCTATGTACCTTATGGAAGCCTTATAGAAGCCCTATCTACCCTGAACTCCCCACCTGTAGTTTCCTTTAACTTGGTCTGAGGACATAGTGGAGAGAAGTCCGCTTCCAGGCGTGTCCTACCTTGGACTTAAGTGCTTCTCCTTTTTTGTTGAAGTGCACCCTAAACCCTAAACCCTGAACCCTAAACCCTAAACCCTAAACCCTAAACCCTAAACCCTGAACCCTAAACCCTAAACCCTAAACCGTCTCCACATTGTTATGTCACTTCCAAGTCAATCCCAAGCCACGACACCTCTTGACTCCCAGGTCGTCTAAATCCTAAGCCCGAAAGCCCCAACATCTTAAATCCCAAACCCTACAAGGCTGAGGGTTTGGGGTTTGGGGTTTTGGGTTTAGGGTTTAGGGTTTAGGGCTTAGGGCGTAAATCCTGCATACTTGAACCCTGAACCCTAAACTCCGGTGGGATGGTTGTCAAAACTAGGGTGTGCTCTGGGGTTCCCCACCTACAGGGTGCCGCATTAAGAACATAGAGTTCCATAAGGGGACCATGATTTGGACAGCTACCCATGTATTCGGAACCTAAACCCCAAACCTCACCCCTAAAACCCTACACCCCTAAGCCCCTAAACCCCTAGCCCCATGAACCC